CTTTTTGTGCTCTCTTTGTTAAGCTTTGGGGACTTTTGTGTATTGACCTTCTCACCACTGAAATCCAGTGGATTTTCAGTGGTGAAGAAGGGATCTTGAAGTCTTTCATAGGGGAGGGACACCCCTCTCCCTTTGTCTCTCTTTTGTTTGCATTTTTGGCTCATAAGGGTAGCATGTATGCTTAGTTGCTTTTGGCTTCATTTCAGAGGTTTTTGGGTGTTATTTGGTCATATTATATCTCTATTTTTTGTTGGATTAATGGCCCCTTGCATGCTTAATATACTTGCTTTGTATTCCCTTATTTTGCTTAAAAGTGCATCATGCATTTAGCCTACCATGCTCTCATACTTTTGCCTAGCTTTGTGAAGCTTTTGGTCATGTTTCATCATGCTTGAGGTCTGTTAGGTATTGATTTGGTCATACCTTTCATGCTTTGTATAGTCCCTTTGCATTCTAGCATGTTGACATCGGGTGTGTGAGTCATTAGCATGCATTACCTTGGCTATTTCAGTGATTTGGAATCACTTATTATGTCATTTCAGTCCATGTTTTGTGCTTACATGCTTACATTTGTTCTCCTTTCAATGCTTTGAAGAGGTGTGGTCTCATGCTCCATGTTTGGGCTTTTGTGCATGCCTATGTGTTTGAGTCATTCGAGTTGCCATAACAGTGGGTTTTGGGACTTGTTTTTGTGCATTATAACTCTGTTTTTGGTTGCATAGTCCATCCCATGTTTGCTTGGGATAGGTGTTGGGCAATGCTCTCTTTTGTGGCCTTGAATGCCTTCTATTTCGCACCCATTCCCTAGCATGTTTTGGCATCATTCTTCGCATGCTTTTCAGAGTTTAACATGAGTGTTTAATGTCCATGTATATTTCCTTCAAGTATGCCTAGAGGTGCCCCCTTCCATGCTTAGATGATGAACCTTGTTGTGTGCATGTTTGCATGCATAATTGGTGCTCTTTTGCACCATCTTTGACCACTGTTTTGGGGCATGGCTGAGGCCTCCCATTTCAGTTTAAGACCACCCTTGTACATAATTGCATACTTGGCATGATGTATATTGCATTACATTAGTTACATGCTTGTATTATATCTTGTTTTCATTTTTGCATATTGCTTAGCTAATGGCATCACATGACCTTGTCGCGTACTTGGCATACTAATGTGACATTAGATTAGCTTGCATGTCTTGGTAGTATTGCATTGTATATGGCATACATGCATTGCATCTTGTTGGGTTTAAGGTGTCAAACCAAACTTGAGGAATGAAGCGTGTTCGTACTTAAAGTGACGAAACACGTCTCACTCTTCGGTCGCCAATGCCCTTGATCTCAACATGATAGGGCATGAGGCATTCATTTCTTTTGTGCATGCATTTACATTGAATGGCAAACTTGGCCTCTTAGGCCATCATGCATCAAAATGCATAATTGATGGCCCGAGGGTCGAGAGCCACGCTCCCTTGAGTCCATTGCATGATAGGGAGTGTGATGCTCACACTTGCTTGAAAATTTCATGCCATACACTGCTTGCCCTCTGCTGCTGTCAACTGCAGGATTCTACAAGAAGAAATAGCCGACCGGCCATCTCTAGTGCCGACCGGCCACCAGTGTCTAGCTGATGACACAAGCTTTGGCCGATAATCCCATTCCCATGGCCCGTGGCCTTTTGTTCTGGCCGATGGCACTCCACAGCACTCAGAAGGAAGCTCAAAGTAGTTCTGAAACTTTCACAATTTTCAGAGTAGCAATGTAGTATAAACAGAGGCAATAGTGGCATGGTACGGTTTTCCGAGCAAGGCAAGTCAAGCATGCATCATCCACGCATTCCGAGGCAGGGCTGCGGCCACCTTCCTTCTGCATTTAATTCATTAGTTAATTAGAAGTTCTGTAATATTTAATTTAGTAGTATTCATTTGGTTGTGTAATATTTATTCGAACCCTCCAAGTGAGGGCAATTGTGTAATAAGTGTGTGTGAGTGTGTGTATGTCTTCTAACCTCACATCTTTCTTCCCTTTTTATTTACCAGCTTTCAATGGTTAGTATTAGTGCATATTTAAATTAGCATACCTTATGCTTTGCATGCGTGCATCCATCCATCTGTATTGCATGCGCCGGGCTCGGCGCACCATACTAACTGCATTGTATTTCAATTCCAAGTTGAATACGTGTTAGCTGTGGCATCATCATATGCCATTCTTAGATTAGCCAAGCCTATTCTAGTTGCATTCTGTATGTGTTGCATTAGCCGTCTTAACATGAACTAGGATCATGCATTTGATTACTAACTAGTTTCTGTTTTGACTTGGAGTACTAGGTAAGCTCTTATGCTTTAGCATCTTGTATGCGTGTGAGTGTTGCCATATTAGAATGCTTACCATGAGGCTATGTGCTTATGTGATATAACTGTCTGAATGCCTGTAGGTGAAGGTTGGATTATCTAAATTGGAATAATGCATCGATTGTGAGTTTTAAGCCCACCCAAAGGTGGCAAAATCTGCATTTTAAGTCTACTCATGGGTAGCAAACAGTTTTCAAAACAAACATGAAATGTTTTGGGTGTTAAGGTTTCAAAATGTATAAAAGTGGGGCTTTGTATTTTGAGCCTATACATGTGTATTTGAGCCTAGAAATGAGAATATTGGTGTTGTTGATAATATTTGGACCTTTGGGTCAATATTGAGCTTAAAAGGAAAAATGCCATATTTTGGTATATTTGGGCCATTAGTGTAATTAATGACATTTGTTATGAAATTGAGTTGGGGATAATGAAATTTGCTCATTATGAGATAGAATGGTGGAGTTGAATTTATAAATCGCTCTCTTTTGAAAATGTCAATTATATATCAGTTGAGGTATTTATTATCTGTTTAGAAATAACTGCTTTGGGCTATCGGTGAAGGATAGTCTTGATTGTTGTAGACATTGCATGATGATTAGGTGAAATGAAACTAATCAAGTTGTGTATTTGAATACATGGGTGCCGAATCCCGCGGATGAAATTTTCGTAAAATGGCCATTTGAATATAATTATACATGGGTGCCGAGTCCCGCGGACACAATATTCGTAAAATGGCAATTCGAATATAATTATACATAGGTGCCGAATCCTGCGGACGCAATTTCCGTAAAATGGCAATCCGAAAATATCTATACATGGGTGCCGAGTCCCGCGGATGAAATTTCCGTAAAATGGCCACAAGAAAATAATTACACATGGGTGCCGAATCCCGCAGATGCAATTTCCGTAAAATGGCAGTTTGAAGTATTGTTGGAGTATTGTTGGCATGAGATGTAGTCTCACTTCAGTTATTTGGCCAGGTTTTGAGCCATGTTTATAAGATAAGTTTTGTTAAGTTAAACATTTATCAAGTGCTAATGTTTTAGTTATTGCTCATGTTATGTTTAGCATATCTCTACTGGGCGTTGGCTCACCCTATATGGGACATCATTTTCAGGTACAGATGTTATGCCACCTCCAAGGACGTAGCTTAGGAGGCTTGAGGCTATAGACGCTTTTTGTTGTTTTTGTTGTATTACATGTATATCAAGCCAAGGGCTTGTTTGTGTAGAGTTAGTACTCTCTTTTTTGTAACCAAGTGTTGACTTGGAAAGTTGTAAGCCTATAGGGCGTTTACTTTTATTGTCAACATGTAATACCTTTTGTAAGAATACTCTGATGGTTATAATATGAGAACTCTTTTACTTATCGTGAATGTATGTTATGATGGGTTTATTTTTGAGGGCGTTACACTCTAAAATTAACAAACTCTTAACATGCCTTAACACATTTTTAGGTCTCATTTTTATCACTTTTTATCATATAATACACCTTAATACACTTTTTTAACTATCCCATTGTGAATGCTGTAAGAAGCCAAACAAACATGACCATTAGTCTAAATAATATGACTTATCACTTTTGTGTTGATATTCTACAAATATATTTTTTTTGCCAAGGGGCGAATATTTGCATAACAAAATTGAGTTAATTTTGATATATTATTAACTGGATATTTTTCTTTTATGTAAGAGTTCTGGAAGAAGCATTTAATGAGAAATATAAATAAATCTAATTAGTCAATTTATTTCTTATTTTCTAAATTTAGAATTAGTAGTTAGATCTCACCATATAATTCATTAGATCATCCGTTAAAATCATTTTGTTAGTTAACAGAATCTAGTAAATAATATATATATATATATATATATACTTCTTTTGATTTTTTAAAATAAAAATATAATATGTACTGCATAAATAAAATTGATTTGATGAAATTGATGCTACTATAATTGACATATGAAACATTAGGAGATTATCCCATTATACATTGTGAAATACTATTAATAAAATAGAGTTACTAAAGTAAATTTTATAAAATTAGAGGCTATCCATTTACACATTTTACAAATATTCACAAAAGATAGAGGTAATGTTGTAATATTGTTTAGTATTAGAATTAGAATTTAGGTGAAAAGTATAATAATAATTTCAAAAAAAAAAATGTATTGAATTCAGTGCAAAATAATTTAAATTTAAGTACAAAAAGATCATATATTTTTATATGGGTAATGTTAGAGATATCAAATTTTGTACTAAATAAATGATCAAATATCCCAGATGGGTGTAGGGTCTACAAAAATGTGGGGTTCACACTTATGTGAGACATTTGAGAGTGATTTGGAAAGTTGGTTAAAAGCTGACTTTTTTATTTTTATAGATAAAAAATGTGAGAGGTGATATAACCTAAAATTACACTACAGGAAATTCGTTTTTTAGCGACGTTTTGAAAACGCCGCGAAAATCCTGAAAAATGTCGTAATATCTTATAGTGACGTGTAAAATTTTAGCCGCTGATAGGGCCGCCGCAATAGCTACCCAACGTTTAAAAAACGTCACTAAAAATATTATACAGCGTTTCTTAAAACGCCACAAAATCTTTGACGACCGTCTCACCCTCCGTCCCAAATTAACGTGTGACGTCACAATGACGTCATTACCATAAGCATTTGAAATTTCCTAGCATCATCAACATCATCAATTGCCAAGCAGCCACTCTGACTTAGATAATGGAACTCAACAGCCGATTTTAGATTCAGTCTATCTGTAAAGAAATATATGACACGAAGTCAGAGACCATAAATTTTCTTAGGTTGTAATTATATAGCTGATATAGAGAACCACATCATATATCTCATCAGAAATGTCTCTGGCTTCTTAACAAAAAAGTATAATTTTCTACATCATGTTATTGGAAACCCAGAATGGATCTCAGATTCTACCACTTCAACAACTATTTCTAGATTCACTGAATTTCCATGAATGAAATAATGATAGGATACAAACAACCTTTGAGGCCAGACGGAGCACCAGCACAAAGTTGGTAAAAGATATTGTATCACCTTTCTCCATGAGCGAGCTGAACCACTCTTGACTGCTCAAAGAAAACCACTCTTGACTGCTCAAAGAAAACATCATATACTTTTATCAGGCATGTGTTATTTATATAAACAAAATAAATAAATACATACGAGTTTACAGTGGAATCAACATACCTTTTCAAGCAGAACTATCCATGATTATTGAAGGAGTTGATGTTTTACAACACATATGCAATCAAAAAATAAATCAAGCTAGTAAACACAATTGAAACAGGATCACAAGAAAATGAGTCCTTAGCAACTTTCTGATGTAAACATGCTTACAAGTCTAGATTTGAGCGCCACATATTTTCCCCATTGCACTAAAATGAATCTCAATCAACTTCCCCTGCACCACATCAAGAAGAGTTGATCTGTATATCTTTTGAAGTAACTCATTTAAGTATTGCACAATGATCAACTCATTCAAGTAGTGTTCGTAAAGAATCTTTAAGCTAAAATGCATAACAAAAACAGGAGTGCATTCTGTTTGGAAGATGAGAGGACGAGGTGTGAGAGAGAGAGAGAGATAGAGGCTCACAAATCGGCTAGAATTGTCATTCCTGGATGTTTTTGCATTCCCAAATGCTTCCAGAATGCAGCTTGTCTGAAGGATTTCGCTTTCTACCCCACCACTGCCACCACCAAGAGCAGCCAAGTATTGCATTGCAATTTTTGCTGTTTCTGTTTTCCCAGCTCCACTTTCCCCACTACAAGATAGATACAACTGATTTCTTAGGTATAACTTAAATCTCATGGTGTAAGAAAATCAAGCCTATGGAAAATTGCCACAAAAGGAACTGAAGGGAAGCATAAAAAAAGCATCAACATACAGAGCTTCCACTTCATGGACACACACACACACAAAAGACAGTTCAACTAACCTTAGTAGCAAAGCAAGCAAAACAAATTCACTTCATCTGCACGATCCATGATAAGAGTAGAGTAAGCAAAACAAATTCTTTAGTAGCAAAGTATAAACAAATTCAATACTATCTATATTTTTCTGCAGACAATGTACATACACAAACTGGAAACATGATAAACAGCTAGAACGATACTCGGACACCAAGCAACGCCATTAGCTGAGAAATGAACTCAGGGTGACCTGGCCATGCTGCTCCAGTTACCAGATTCGACTTATTGGATCAGGTTCTAACCATGTTGCCCTACCTAAGACCACATTGAGTTTCACTGCAGGGTATGCAGTACATTTCTTGCCCTGCAAAAGAGTCCATCGCTAAATCAGAACACAGTAATAGCACACCGACGAACTTCCATTTTCTCAACAAAAGAAAAAAACACACACACACAGCAACTAATGTGCGGACCATAACTAACATTTCACTGGCAAAGAATTGATACTTTATGACACTGTTGGCATAGCATTTACATTTTTTCTGATGTAAGATTGAGGAAAAGTTTGGGTGCCAATATTATATTCTGGACTAAATATTTACCATTTTCATGTTACTTATAGCGAGAGATTCACAATCAAGCTTGAGAACAAAAGCATGTCCCCATCAGCACAGAGGAAGATAGCGTGAATATTGAATTGTCAAAAAAAACCCAAGGTAGGCTCAAATTGCAAAGTTTTGATGCAAAACATCATAACTAAATTATAGAACACTATCTACAAACTGCCCTTGAACACTATCTCCTGTTACCGCAAATCTCAAAGACGGCCAACTAGCCATTGTATAAACTTAAATTTGGGTAAACCACTAAAATCCCCCCCCTCCCCCATTTCCTTCACTCAAATTTCTATCCAATCAAAACTTGACAGGTGCTTTTACCCAAATTTGCCAAATTCTCCTTTACTCCCAACTCCTAGCATCCACTCAAAACTTGACTCTTGGCAGTTTTGCTCTATTTTTATTTTTTATTTTTTAGATGGGGAATTTTACTCAAATTTTAGTTTATCCATTGGAGTGCTTCATATCAAATGAAGCTTTTCATTTAAACTTCTACTCTAATTTCTACTCAATTAGAGTACAAGTATAAGCAAGGGTTGGATGATAATCAATTTAAAAAAACTAATCAAGAAATTTAAAAAAAAAATCACAAAATAGAATTAATGAAGCAATAATTGAAAGTGTAATTACTATGGATGATAAGTTCAGCACAAAATAGAATTTTCTTGCTATAAATGTTGGATCAATGAAATATGCTAAACAAAATTTCATATTAAAGCAACAAAAATGTTAATAATCTACCTTGAGAGCACTAGTAGCAGACAAAATCTGCTGTCCATGGCAGATTGATGCTACTGGCTTTCCAACCTCCATGAATTCCTTCACCAATTTAATAACTGACTCATCCAATGCTAGGTATTCTGTAGCTCTGCCTCCCGGGATCACAAGAGCATCATAGCTTGAAGCATTTAAACCTTCAAAACTAGCTGTGAGTGTAAAGTTATGACCTGGTTCAACGATCTGATCTGATCTAATCTGAAAATGAAAAAATTAGAGAGTTAATCAGCAGATTTGACAATGAGAAAGTAGATCAACAGAGATCGATCTGGTTCAAACTCGAACACCGATTAAGAGAATGAAAATTGTACCTGAGATAAGAGCAACAGAGATCGATCTAGTTTGAGAATGATATCGATTTTGGATCTGTGATTTGATGAAGAACAGATCGAGTTTGAGTTCAAGTTCGATGAAGAGACTGATCAAAGCTCTCCAGCGACAGATTGATGAAGAGCAACAGAGATCGAGAGTTCGACGCATATACAATACAAAATCAGCAATCGAGCGAGAGAGAGAGAGAGAGAGAGAGAGTGTGTGTGTCTTTGATCTGGTTCGATGAATATCAGTCGAGGGCTTTGGAAGAGAGAGAGAAAGAGAGAGGGACGGAGACCAAGCTACGGAAGAGACACAGAGAAAGTGAGAAACGGAGTATGGATGGTGTCAACATATACACCCAATACGACGCCGTTCAACTGAGCTCTAAGACAACATTTTGAAAACGTTGTCTTTCATCCATCTATAATGGCGTTTCCAAAAACGCCATAAAAGAAATGTTGCAGTAGGCCATTTTTCCTGTAGTGTTAGTTAAAACGTAAAAGTTAACTTTTAACTAACTTACCAAAAAACCCCTTAATTATTTATTTGATAAAAAATTTAAAACCTATAACATTTTCCTTCTTATATCTCAAAGACACTTATTAGTAAGGCTCATATCTTAACTAATGAGTGTGTAAAACCTTTTCAAGACGGTAAGCCTGGCTTGGAAACGGAAGATTCAATCCATCATTTTGATTTTGTAGTGGATTGACTTCTGATTATTTGTTTATTTATTTAAGCGTCTTTTGGTTTAAAACTAGGTTAAAAAATAAAATATATAATATAAATTTAATTTTAGTATGATATGAAGTGCACTTAGGATTGCCTCTATGTACACACCACATTTTATCTCAAGGCATACCATTAATTAATTTATTTTTTTATTACAATATTAACCTAATGTAAAATGACCACAAAAGGACAAAGGGCTATGATACACACCTTACGTAAAATTACCATAAAAGACAATAATAAATACAATATACACCTCTCTTCTGAAATGTTATTTACGTATCTTCTCTTTCAAGAATTCAAAAACCCAGAAACAAAAATAAAAAACCCTTAAAGAAACAACCAAAATATATACGTATTAATGAAGATTTTGATTGGATTGAATGATGTATGCATCTGGCAATATTGATTTGAAACAACAGAGTAAGGAAAATGTGAGTTTTTCATTATTTTTTTTCCCGTTATCGTGTACTTGCTGAGTGATAAACTGTTTGGATACTCAGGTTCGAACAATATACTCATGTTTGACTATCTACAACCGAACAACTTCTAATTGTTCGATTTTCTAGTGTCGAACATAGTCCACATACGTTTGAAAGACCAGTGTCGAACGTTCGCAAAATGAAAATTTCAAATACAATGCTCATGGCAATGGAAAAACATACATAAAACCCTAAAATCTAAGCTAAATGAGAAATTCTCACCTACTGTATCTCCAATGTGGAGTTGTTTCCAACTATGATGATAACAACGATCACCACCAGCGTCTTTGATGAAACAGATAATGGAGGTGTAGAATATACAAGATTGAAGATTGTGGGTGGAGTGTGTGAGTGAGTAAGGGTAAAGATAGAAGCTTGTGGGTGGGGTGTGTGAGTAAGGATAAAGATGGAAAATTATGGTGTGTATTAAGCAAATTTCTTATTTATCAAATTACTAAAGGTGTGCATTGAGATGAAAAGTGGTGTGTAAATAGAGGCGCCCGCGCACTTAGGTGTGTTTTGGGAAGATGGTAAAAAGTTGACTTTTGACTTTCGGCTTTTTACTAAGCTTTTTGGATTTTTTGAAAAGTGATTTGGAAAGTTAGTAAAAAAACTATTATTTTGCTTTTTTGTATTATATTTATTTATGGTGTCACATCACATTAAAATAACCAAAACACCCCACCAAACTTAGGAAATTTACGTCTTAACCCATGTGGTTGTTTGAACAATAGGCTGGTTTGACATGTTGAGAAAAAAATAAAAAGTTACTCAAAAAGTAAAAATGTTATCACTATTCACAAATTAAAAATCTAAAAAAAAATCAATTTTCACAATATTAGTACAATCCAAATAGCTACACAGTGATGGTACTGAAGTGATGGGAAATTTATGCAGTGATAGTACCAAAAAAAAAAAAAAAAGATATATATATATATTCATTAAGTTGGAGGGTATTGTTAGGCCCGCGGAGGCCCAACACGGATCCCGTTTCTATAATTCGAATCATTCAATGTGTAGAACTTGTCGAGTATTATGTATTTGAAAAAAATCACATTGATCGGATATGGATAGCTATGTGACCAAACCAGATTTTTTCTAGCCGTTTATTTTTTACCGTCCATTTTTCTCATACAAAACTGTTTTGATCACATAGCTATCGATATCTGATCAAAATGATTTTTTACAAGCATATAGTACACAACGAGTTCTACACATTGAATGGTTTAGATTATCGACACGAGACCCGTGGTGGGCCCCCACGGGCCCAACAGTACCTGTGAAGCCTCATGCTATATATGCATATAGTTCAGATTCTTCTCACCATTTCAACCATTCCATACAGTCCTTTTGCAGCACTCTCACTGATGAGTCTAGATTGTAGGGGTAAAAACGTAATTTTACTATTTTATACAATATTTTAATATACATTTTTTCGTAAAAAGACAAAAAGTTATCCTAAACAACCATCTTTTTTTTCCTCTACTTTTTAGTCTAAAAAGTCAAAAAGTGTACTTATTTAGACCACCCCAAACAATTCCATAATTTCATGGAGGACAATTACGTATACCACTTGCTTTTTTGTCCCTACCCAAATCAACCTACTTGCTTTTTTTATGCTGCCATTTGTGTTTTTGAAATGCTAGAAAACACAGCTTGTTGCTCACTTCCCAAATGGACACTTAGGCCTCTTTTGACAAGTGGTTTTTTTTATTAAAAAAGCCAAAAAGTTATTAAAAAATCAAAAAGTCAACAACCTAAACTAAAAAGTCAAAGATTCCATTTTCTCTCTACTTTTTGCACATCTTTTGGTAAAAGTCAAAAAGTTATCCCAAACATACTAATTTTTTTTACATCATATTTTAGCCAAAAAACCAAAAAGCTACTAAAAAAGCGTGTTCCCAAACGAGGCCTTAATTATTTTGTAGATGCAAAGACAACCTAAACAATGTGAC